ACCTGTTCCGTCGCTATTTATCAAAATGTCTAATAATGTCGCTGATGGAAGAGCAAAGTAGAAACCATTTTGGGGTAAAAATGTAACAAGTTTTTGCAGTTTTTAAAAAGTTGCTTCCCAGCGCTAAAAGAATTTTTTCCAGGTGTATCGCATTGTCGAGGACTTATATGAAAAAACATGTGCTAGTGTACCTGTTACAGTAAATGAAAAACAGTTTCAAGACACATACCTTACGACTATTGAAGAAGCCATGCAAACCCTCCGATTAAATAAATCAGACCCACGGCAGGCCTGGACTTCATTCAAACTTGTAATTTCTCATTTTTTCATGGCTCTTGCCAAATGAATATAATGAAATAGTTATAATGATAACTGATTACCGAAAACTATGGGTTCAATAATTGTTTAACTTTTTATATATATAAAAAGGGGGTATTTCTGTTATCGATTTTCCCATTTAAAGCTGGAATTCGGTTATGCCTAAAATATGCTTGAAACGCACAATCACAATCAAACTTCAGTAAGGCCTTCTAGTTCTACGGTAAGGGCTCATTATACTTTGTGAACTTTGCCCTGTTCAATAGATAGATATTCGAGAGAATGCCCGTGTTATTTTCTCATTGTTATGGGATTTTGATTTTTTTTTTTATTTAATCAGAACATGAAATGAAAACATAAGGATATTAATGATTACATACATCACTGTTCCTTCGTAATGTACCGAATCAGGCAGGAAATGAGCTAGTTTAAAAAAAAAAAGAGGTTAAGAAATCGAAATGAAATTTAAACTTTTTCAATGACTTTCCACACAAATTGATTAATGTAGGGAATTGCCCAATATAGTTTGATCGAAGTGACGAAATATGATCAATTCGAATTCTAAAAAATTCTTTTTCTCTCCATTTTATTTAGCAGGATGGAATTGTTATATTTTTTCTTGAATTAGAAAATGTGTAATATTGGATATTCATTTGTTAATCAATTGGAAATGATAGTGTTTGCTTGCAATTACGATTGTAGCGATTGTAGCATTTGTAGCCATCGTCATGTGTTTTTTTTTCCGAACTGAAAAAGTTTGTAAATTTCAAATAAGATATTCAAAGTTAAAATCTAAGTTTTTTAATTTTTATCAGTCACTAAATCTATTAAACCAACTGTTTCCTAGAAAATGGCAATTAATTTAAATAGAAAATAATGAAACCGAACCAAACCAAATTGTTTCCTAGAAAATGGCAATTAATTTAAATAGAAAATAATTTTAAAAGTGTTGCATCATCAAATTTGAGTACTCATTTAGTCATCAACATATCTGACCTATAAATACAAATATTAGGAAACATAATGTGTTCCGTTTCAGATTGGTGGCAAATTTCATGCTGCAATTCAACAGGTACAACTACTAATAAACCTTTTTTTAGCATTATACACAAGTTAATGAATTTAATTAAATTAGCTCATTTGCTTTTAAAATTAATGAAAAAATAAGCAAACAAAATAATAGAGATTTATTTACTGCAGCTATTGTTATTTCAGCCGAAAACTTGCAACTTTTGAATACAATCGATGAATTTCAATCCAACGTTATGCACATAATTGTTAAACTCCATGATAAGATTACAACAATTCGTGACAAGTTCAGTCATACTGTAACAATTAAATTCTTCCAATATAAAATATTAAATTCATCATAGACATCGATTCATTAACTATTATTTTGAATTCGCATTGCTTACGATTTGATACATATTGTAAACAATGAAAATTTTATTTGTAACTTTTTTTTAAAAAAATAAGAGTCGAAATAACGAAATTTATTGAAGCTTGAAGATTTAAAGAACAAATCCAATGAAGGAAAATTTGAAAGTGCTTTAATAATTATTGACCTGAGAAGGTACTATATCATTCATATTTATGAAATGGAATCTATAAAACAAAGATGAAAAGCTTAGATGCAGGAAGGCAGTTCGACAGGTCAAATTCGATATTATTGGTTTTCTTTTTTCAAGGTGGAAAGACATAGTGGCCCATATAGCTTAAAAGGCTTCCATGTTTGACCACTGATTTTATGTTCCATTTTTGTCCTCCAGTTTTAATTTCACTTGCATACTCTATTTTATCCTCCCCTGTTTGAATATCATTTATAGCTTTTCTTTAATGTTCTATGTCTAGCTGCTGTTACAGTATTTGTCCAGTAAAAGTTGCTTAATAGCCTTGCCGGTTCCGGTTCATAAGGCTTATTGCTAATCATTCATGTTGTGTCGTGTAAATTCTCAGGGATAACCAAAGTTAAAAGTTACAAAGAGACAGAAGTAATATTTTCTCAAGTATTTGCTAATTTTACTACATCATAAATAGTGAAATTAGTAAGAAATGTAATACCAGTCATTTAGGTCAATTTTGACACTCACATATCTCCTTCTAATTTGGGCTTTTACGATAACAGTAATCAGTAAACTTTGACCGAATGTTTTCTTCAGTTTTTTAATATGCAGGACATTTCTCTTTCTTACTTTTTCTTTTTGATAAACTTTATCTCCAATTTCTCAAAAATATTTGATTTTAAATTAAATCAGTTTGAATGAGCTCTGAAACTATCATACAAGCATAATCTGCTAATTTTCACATAAAAAAAAAAAAAACGAAACAAATTATGCTCAAAAATCCGAACTTGGATTTATTTCAATTTTACTTTCATCAGTTACTTTTCTTCCCCCCAACATATAATTCAAAACGATATATTCATAATTGTTGTCTCATATATCTTTCACTTTAATGGTCGAAATGACAAGTATTGGATTTTAATGCTAATGAATATTGATGAAAAGAACAGTAAGAGAAAAATGGTCAATTCTCAAATTTCGTATTTGCCCAATTTGTCGTTGAATCGCTTTTTTTTTTCCACTTTTAGAACGTTTTATGCCTGTCTATTGATAATCAAACAACAAAAACGTTCAACATTCTATAAGAATTTTCATTCTCTCCATGTTCAACAAAACAAGTTGACGATAATAAAAACACGAATTTGAAATTAATTATTGCGTAATTAACTGTTAATCGAATGAAAAGGGAACAAATAATAAAACATTTAATGGTATTGATCGAAAATGAATTTCAACAATGATCCCAAGTAATTAATTACCATATATAATGAATAACATTTGATTCATTAAACTGTTTAACTGTTATACTTCCAGAACCATTATATATATATGGATTTAACGAGGTGTAAAATTGTGGTATTGTGGCGAAATTAAGAATATTAAGTAATTATACAAGTCTGAAACCAATCATCGCAACATTTCCCTTAATAAATTCAGTTTCATTTTGACAATTTAACCTTTCATCAGGACAATGATAGTTCAAATGTGAAAGGGAAATAGATGAAATTATGTCAGCAAAAGAAAGGTGATGATGTGCACTCCTCGTTTAATTACCTTTAAATTTTAAAGGATAAACGTAACTAATTAGTGTGCAATCAATAATATTGTGATAAAACTGTACCCAAATAAGGAAACAGTCCTCCAATAAATTCCTCTTGCCTACGGTTCTGAAGTTTTTGATCTGATAGGTTAAACTGTTATTTGCAAATATTTCTCTAAATAATTCCTTGTTCTTCTAGGTAAAAGACAAATCAGTGATATTGGACCTTTTATTTTGAAAGGCAATGAATGGTGCATTGCCTTGAAATTATTTAAATTTTATGAATTGTGACTTTCAAAGAAAGAAAAAATGAATGCCAACATTTTTTTTCACGATGAATTCACTTTAATGAAATAATAACACAGTACCTGGCTCTAGCAATTCAGTTGCCTGAAGCTAAAATATTGATTGGAATCATATCATCTAATACAGGTGTCCTAATTTGGCACAAAATCAAAATTTCAGAAAGAAATTTCATTAGATAAGAAGTTTTATCAGATTACGAATTTTGCGGAAATCAATAGATATCATTTACAACTGATTAAATCTTATGAAATTTGGTCATTGTATGAGAATTATTTGTGCCTTTACATTTTCATATGGCTTATATTTTAAATTAAAATTCATTACTTTAAACTTGTGGTATATTTTCAGAAATCCATGAACAACACAATTCAAAGTATTTATGGTAAATGTTCATCTACATTCAATGTCTTTTCCAAACTTTTTCGCCTTTTCCTTTTTATTATTAATAGTATAATATTAATTAAAACATTTCTAAATTCGCTCAGCTAGAAACGAATGTTTTTTGACATCGAAAAATGCGAATAATTTATTGGAGAGTAAAATTAATGTTTGATTTGAATTTCGTTTCCTTTTTTTTCTTGCTTTTAGCAATATTTGAATAACTTCATATCAAAATTTTTAGTTTAGAAATGAATCTGAAGTAGAAATACACAGGGAATCTAGTTTTTTTTTTTCTCTCTCGGCTTGCTGTCTAATTAATTT